ACATATTGACTGCTTGCCCTGAGGATGCTGATGTGATTGGCATTGCTATACATACTTTTTTTCCCTCTCCCTCTATCATCTATGTACTTCAGTATGGATTCAAATATTTACATATGATTATACAACCCCAAAATGTTTTGAGGTGTTTTTCAAATACTCATGATTGAAATCTTAATTCAAATACCGGCTCTGCCCTAAGTCAATTTTCCTGGGAAACCTTCTATTATCATATTAATCTTCCTTTATCAGGAGTGGGTATAACTCAGGACTTAATTGTTCTCTAGTTGCTTCATCTAGCTCATTTAGATTTATGATTACTTCATTAAGCTACCGAAGCAAATACTTTTGTTTCCCCCATATTTCTAACACAATAGTGGACATATCATAATTTAATAACCCCAGAGGTATTATTTTTGTGAAATACATTCAAGTATCAAATAAAACTGAGATCTAAACTATTGATCTCTTTCTTATTTCTGTGTAGGACACAGATCAAAAGCAAAGTAAATCATGAGCACCTTGATTTTCACAGAAGTAATTTAGCAATATGCTATGTTATTGTACCTACACACAGACTGCTTAATGCTGACGATGTTCTCTTTGCACAGCAGTGTAGTCATAAAAGTGACTAAAAGCTGTGTAATCTAAATAACTGGCAGGAAAATTTGCAAATGTTTAATGACTTTTAATTTTTTTCTCAAAGTATTAAAAACTCTTGCTATTAGATATATATGCATATATATGTAGGCATGTATATATAAATGACAGGGCTGGAGAGATGGTTCAGCAATTAAGAGCACTGGCTGTTCTTGCAGAGGACCTGAGTTTGATTCCCAGTACCCACGTGGTGGCTAACAACCACTTGTAACTCCATTTCCAGGGGATCCAACATCCTCTTCTGGCCTATGCAGGCATTGCACCACATGGGTGCACCTACATACATGCAGGCAAACACTCAAATACATAAAAATTAAAAAATTAAAATATAAATGGAAAATAGAAAAATGAATGTGTGTCTTCCCCGTTATAATTTAAAACTTAAAGTGTGTGTTGAAAGTATTATAATTGGTTGTAAAAATTATCACAGTTATCACTATTTGAACAGTGACTATCTTTGGTTTCTCCCAGCATGCCTGTTTCATGTTGTGTGTTTCAGGCCCTTCTTTGTGCTTTGGTGAGCTACAGCAATCCATTTTGATAAGACCATTCACTAAGCATTTGCACTTTCAGGCTCCAAAAAAATGTCTTAAAATAGCAACTCTTGAAAGCAAAGATTTTGCAAGTATCACCTCTTATATGATACCTTTATGCACTTTTTCATAAAACTTCTCATTTACATCTGTAAGGTCACCTTTAGCAGCTTCTGCCTGACCAGAGCCTTGGGAACATCAGCAATTCCATTATCAGCTGCTTCTTATGTAACTCTTTTAAGATGGCATATTCCATTAGAATTCAGGTCCAATGTTGTTACTTTCCCTTTCTCTACTTCACTTTCACCTTTATTAGCAAACTCTCTATTTGATTACCCATTTTTACAAATCACTGGAAGGCAAGGACACAACATACCTATGTGTTTTGTTTTATGTACATGAACAGAATACCAGATGCAGGGTGATCAGCTACTTGTGAACTTTGAAAAAGTTCCTGTAATTGGTCGCTCATCATAAAGACCTTATTATTTACACAGCAAATTGTGGAAAGAGCTCCAGTGATTAGTAAACTGAAGACCCAACAGTGAACTTTGTACTTCAGTCAATTAACTCACAATTAATTCACATTGGTAAACATAAATGGAAATATATTGTGTGGGACTGTTATTAAAATTAAAATATGATAACTGAAACCTGAGACTACAGGCTATAAAAGTAATGGCTACCTTAATCCTCTCTGCCTTGTCTGAATTTTCCAGGATAAATGTGTTATCTTCCTTTTGCTGATTTTCAGTAATTTATTCCGCATTTTTTGCAAAAAATGAAACTAGGCCAGGCGTGGTGGTGCATGCCTTTAATCCCGGCACTTGGGAGGCAGAAGCAGGGGGATCTCTGTGAGTTCAAGGCAGCCTGGTCTACATAGTGAGTTCCAAGACAGCTGGGGCTACAGAGAGACCCTTTCTCAAAAAAACCAAAAAAAAAAAAAAAAGAGAAAGAAACTAATAGCACTGTAAGTAGCACTGTAAGTATATTTTCATTAAGTATAGCTAGTCATTCAATAATAGCAAAAAACTATGTATTTTTCCAAAATTTTTAATATTTTTAAAATAATTGGAGCATGATTAAACCAATCATCTAATATGTAATCTTAATCAAAGGGATAAGACTATATATTGACAATTTTTTACTTCTTATTCGACCCTATAATATTCGTTTTCTCTCTTTCTCCGGTAGAGCAGAACATACTCTCTGTTCTTCACTGCCTATTATTTTTGAAGAATGTATTCATATTTTGGTTTTTTTTTTATTGCTTTCAGATCTCTTTGAAAGAGACTCACTATATAGTCCAGGCTGGACTTAAGCCCATAATCCTCCTGTTCTACCTCTTGCATGCAGGGATTACAGGTATGAGCCACCATAGCTATGATATTTCATATTATTTTTGTGTTTTTTTTTAATTTTATGTGTACAAATGTATTGCTTGCATGTATGTGAGTGCACCCGTATTGTGCAATGCTGCGGAGTTCAGAAAAGGGCTTCAGATTCCCCTGGAACTGGAGATAAGGATGGTTCATAGCCACCATATGGGTTCTGGGAATCCAACCCCGGGCCTCTGCAAGAGTGATCAGTGCTCTTTACCGCTGAGCCATCTCTCCAGGCCCCTTATCTTTGTGTTTTTATGCTCTTACATTGTTTCGTGTCTTCCTTCAGTGATCTAACCTAATTTGTCCTACTTATTTCCCAGTTAACCTGAAATAATTGACTTCAAGTCTCTCATGCTTTGATTTCTTCTTTGGTAAGAAACCATGCATAACTTCTGAATATTTTTTAAAAGGAAATGCCCTATTTTACTATTTATTTCATCTTTTTAATATATTACTGAGTTTGAAAATCTGATTTTTTATAACAATTAGATGTCACCTCTATTTTCTGTTTTCGTAATCAGTCACTAACACTAGCCAGAGTCACTTTCAAGTGTTTTGATGAACTGAGCAAAAAATAATTAATTCATACCTTTATTTTATTTGTCCTAGTAGGATGATGTCTGTTTACTGAGATGCTAAACATGAGCAAAGTGAGGTGGTACAGCCAATAATTCCAGTATTCAGGAGGTAGGAGTTCAAGTCATACTCAAGCTATGTAGCAAGTTTAAGGTCAGCATGGGATGCATGAGACATTGTCTCAAAATAAACAGAGAAACAGCAACAACAAAACTGACGTGAACTTTTTAATAAAAATACTAATATATGAAAATGTACCAGCTTTTTTTAATATTCTTTATTTTTTAGTTTAGCACTTAAGGTATAAGTGCCATCCTCTTAATCTGCTGTTCAATAGCAGCACAACTTTCTTAAGCTAAAGAATCTGCTCCTCTCGGTTCTTTCTCCAAATTAATTATACCATCTTTTTCTAAGCCTATGTTAAATGCTTCAAAACTTCCTTACTTTTGCCGTGATTCCCTTACAATTTCAAGGAAAATTCTAGCTATTTATTATCTAGTCTTAGATTACTCTTTCTAAAACTAAAATAGTCCATTTACAATGAAGAATATTTTTTCTCATGCTGAAAAATAATAGTTTTTGATCATTGAAGACACACTCTGGAATCAAACAGCCCTGGATTCTTCTAACTCTAATCTAAGCAGCACAGTGTGGCCTCTGAAATATCAGTTTTTCTAAGCATCAGTTTCATTATCTATAAGATAATGTGCATTTGGGAAGGAAAGGAAGACTTATAAAAGAAGATTTGTATTTTTGTTTTGACTTTGTGTCTTATCACAATTGAAGCTTCTTTTTCTCATGTCACCTAATACTTTTCCCCACTATCAATTTTGAATAGATGCATTTATCTCTAAAATACTTTTTTTCACTGAGAGTGATGTAGACTGAATGTTTATGTCCCTCTAAAATCTGCATGTTGATTTTCTAATCCCACTGTGATGGTATTAGCAAAGGAGCTTTGGAGAACTGACAGTTTTATATGACATCATAAATGTGCAGCTCCTATGATGTCACCAATCAAGCTTCTTATAAGAAGAGAACATGGTCAGAGTCCTCCCTCCCCTTGACTAGCATCTACAACTCCAACAAACGTTTGTTGTTTGATTCATTGCCCTAGTACTTTGTGACAGCAATGCTGCGTTAGAAGTGTGTTATAAACAAGACAGCTTCTTTCAATGAGGAATATGAGAAAATATGTTGACTTTGAGACACACTCTCATAATCTAATCATTATTTCTAAAGACTGCTACCTACTCAAAGTCCAGTCTATCACAATGCATTTTATTACCAGACAAATCAAACATTTAAGATAGTAAATATTATTATCAATATGCCTAGACAGTGCTATCACTGTCTAGTTTTATGAACTGAAGCTGTAGCTCAGTAGTAGGGCATTCACATAGCACATATGAAGCCCTAGTTCAATTTTCTGTATGAAGTTTTATAATTCTCTTAGTGTTAAGTTACCTAAAAGAAAAGAATTATCTTTGTGCTTTATTAAGAACTTGTGTCAGTAAGTTTTAATTCAGGAAAACTGCTCAACAACTATTTAAAACAGAAGGAATGTATTAGACATTTCACTGCTTTTTTAGCAAGGATAACAGAGGGACCAGAAATACAAACAGGTGACGATGAGTAATCCTGAATATCAAAAACTCCCTAGAAAGGAGGGGTAAAGAAGGACACCACAATGGGAGACAGGGCTCACATGAAATTAAGCTGGAATCATGGTAACACTGGACTTTGGGTACTGGAGGCACAGAGAAGGCATGGTCCCTGATGGCTTGTGGCATAGAGGGGAGCAAGAGCAGGAGAAACACCCCATCTTTCTCCTCTCCTGGTTCTTCACCACACTACAGTTTTCAACAGTTCCTTGGCTCTACCTCCTGGGAGACCTGGAGATGTTGAAGCCTGGGGAATGCAGGCTGCAAAGCCGGCACTGCAAGGAAGAAAATCAGGACTGGAACTGTGGGCTCACAAGCCCAACAGGTACAAAGGCATAGACAAGGGGCTGGTGTAGTCCTCCTATGAAGCAGGATATGTTTGCCTTGACAGAGATGCTGATTTGTATGTGATAAACAAATCACTCCCTCCTGTAATAAAGCTGCCATCATAAAAAATACACTGTTTTATATTATTAATCAAAATGAAATAAAGTCACCAAAATAATTTGCTATAGGAGATTGGGAGGATTTATTAACTAGATTTGGCTTATTAACCAGAGTGAGTCTTCCAGGACTATCAAAAGCCCTCTATACTGAGGCTTGATTGAAAGTACAGTGGAAACTTAGACTTACAGACTTCTATCTTAGCCACTGATTTTCCTCTCTCTCCTTATACTCCATGCCAAATATAGCTAATTATCATAGGAGGGGGTTCCCTAGCCTTTCCATGCTGTGTTCTCTCCAGCTGACACACAGGCAGAGACAAGGGAAAGTATGCTGAGCACCAGATGGGTGCCTTAGACACTTATGAGCTTCAGTCCCTAAACCCAGAGACATTACTAGAAGGGAACAGGTCCAAGATGGCCTTACTTCCTTAACAAGTAGCCCAAAATAAACAATGACTAAATTAATTTGACAGCTTCTATTTTATGTAGTTTACATGTATTATCTGTTTAATATTTGCTTCATATGTTGGCTTTCGTAGTATTTGCTGTAGCTCATTCCATCTAACTACATAGTGTTAGCACATACTAAGCAGTCACACACTTTCAAGGTAATACATGTTACTCCTCCTGAACTGCCGTCACTCCTCACGTTTGGCTTCATCTCACTCATTCATGTGTGAAAGCATTTGCCGAGTACTTACCACTTGACAGCTTCCTGACCAGTCAATCACAATAGATATGTGCAGGGGCTGTGGGACATAGAAAAGAGGTATGTCAAGCTTCTTTGGAGGCAGTGTTGATATGAAGACATCATATCAACAAGAAGAGCTAGCACCAACTGAAGGAGTGCCATTCTTTTAAGTCTGTCTTGAATGAACACCTTCTATTGGTAATATTTATTCATCAGTTAACTCTAGTTCTTTGGTATTAATACTATTCCTGTATCATTTTTTAAAGAGTTTGTGTCAGTGGCTGAAGAGATGGCCCAGGTATGAAGAGCACTGGCTGCTCTAGAAAATCCAGGTTCAGATCCCAGCACCTACATGGTGACTACCAAATATCTATAACTACGGTTCCAGGTATCCAGTGCCATCTTCCTGTCTCCATGAGTATTGCATATATGTGGTGCACTGACATACATGCAAGCAAAACACTCATACATATAAAATAAAAATGAATAAATAAAATAAATAAAGAGCTTGTGTCAGTTCTGGCTTTCGTATAGTTTTAGAAGGAAGCATTAAAGTCAATGTGGAAAAAAATCAAAGGTATAATATTCATTTTCAACCTAAAGATTACAAATTCTCACTTTAAGAGCAGCCCCCAAACTGAAGACTTGAGGTGGTGAAAGCCCCGTGTGCAGAAATGTTCCAGTAGAAATTGGATGATAATCCTCATCAAGAACATTATAGACAAAACATTGAATGGGAGGTTTGAATTGGTAACCCCTCAGAAAACTTCAGACATAAACTACAAAGGTTTTTATTAAAATAAGAAATGTCAGGTGTGATAGTTCATGCCTTTAATCACAGCACTCAGGAAGCACAGGCAGGTAGATCTCTGTGAGATGGAGGCCAGCCTGGTCTACATAGTGAATTCCAGGTAGGCGGGAGCGAGGGAGACCCTGTCCAAAAACAAAAATCTTGTAACAATATGAATATGAGATTTTCTCCTTTCATATTCAAAATTCACAAAAGTTCAAGATTTCAGGTATTATTTAATTCTGATTCTCTGCTTTCATCCCCAAATCCTATAATGCATTATAAAAATGATAAAATTGATGATAATGACTACCATTTGTTAAGTTTCTAATGTATGCCACACACAGTGTTAAGTGCTTGGCAAATGTAATCTTTAATTTCCACTAGAAATTATGCAAGATAGATATTATTGAAAGCATAATAAGTGAAGCAGTTTAGCAACTATCCAAAATCGCACAGTGAATGAAAGGACTAAAACTTCTGCCCCGGTCTCACTGTAGATTGTGAGCTATTTGGCTGCATTGTACAAGCTACTTTTAAACATCAGATTAAGAAAATGAATCATCAAATATTTATTTAAAGATAGTATTAGAACAACACTAAGAAGGTACAATGATAAATGTAAGGCTAGCCATTAATGTAAAAGCGGAATTCTTGTCCTCTAGGACAGAACAATATGGTGAGAAAAAAGAAGATGCATCTATTGAAAGGCAAAATTCACAATCAAGTACAAATCATGAGCACATCAGCTCACAAAGTGAGTTTACTCACTTTGGCTTTACAAATAGAATGCAAATACAGAATTTTATTTCTTGGTCTATTAACCAATTAGAACCTTAATTTTCAAGTGGGTTTGTAAACCAAGACACAAGATTATCTAAATATCATGGTATGGCTGCAGGTTGATGTTGATGGTTATCACTGAAAGAATCAATAAATATGCTACAAGCTCAGGAGTTTCTGCATAGAAAATTTGCCCTTTGATTTACAAGTCCAGCTACTATTTACACAGTATGATATTATTAGCCCTATTTTTCCCTTATACTGGTTACATGCTTGAATTCTTTATTCAAGAATAATGCCACCATAGCAGCCTGCTGTTCTTCCAGATGCCCTGCTATCTGTAGCTGCTTTTGTCTTTATCATTTAGAACAGGCTGTGTTGTTTCAAGTGGTCTTTCAGTTGTTTATATAGTTATGAAGTTTAAATACAAATTCTTCCAAGATATACAAATGCCATGAGGACTCTTAACTACATTATGTGAGAGACTGATGCAATGTTTTATCTGATAATAAAATGAGATACCTTAGACGTAAGATGTCCAAACAACAATGAGACACTTCTAGTGCAAAGCTTTCCAACATATTGTGCAGTATAATTCTATTGGGCTAAAGAATTATTACAGCTAGTTCTCATGTTCATATTCAACCAGGCTAAATAAGTAATATGTCATAAAATATGTACACTACTACTTTTATATAGGTATGACTAAAAACCGCCAAACTTACTCAAATGATTGCTGGATTTATATGGCTTAGTATCATTTTTTTAATTTTAATTTTTCATTGCTTAAGAATTCCATACAGGCATATGGTGTGCTTTAATAAAATCCACATCTTATTGCCTCCTCTCCAACTCCTTCCCTATCTCCTCCACCACTATTCCCTTCCAACTTCAGGTGCTCATTTTTTTTTTTAATCCACTGAGTCTACTTAGTGCTGTCAATATGTGCATGGGTATAGGACCATTTATTGGAGCCTGGGTCACCTCTAGAGGTCTCATTCCTGAAGTAAACTGACTCTCCTTCTCTGAGCAGTCATCAGTTGCCAACAGCTCCTTGACTAGAATGGAATGTCATGAGCCCTTCTGCAATCTATGCTAGGATTTTGTCTGGCTTGATACTGTGTAGGTCTTCTGCATGTAATCATACCTGCTGTGTGTTCATGTGTGCAACTGCTACATTGTGTCTGGAAAATATTTTTTTGCTACAGTCAGCCACTACTTCTGGCTTTTACAATTTTTCTGCTCCCTCTTCCACAATGATCCCTGAGCTGGGTTGTGATGTAGATATCCCATTTGGGACTGAGCACTCCACAGGCTCTTCTTCGCACTTGATCAGTTGTGGATTTCTGTATTAATTGCCATCTACTGCAAAAAGAATCTTCTCTGGTAAAGGTTGGAAGATGTATAATCTATGAGTATAAAGATAAGTTCTTAAGATGTATACTAGGTCCATTTAGCAGAATAATAGTACTAGGTTCTCCCCTAGGGCCTATGGGTTACCCAGGCAGAGATTGGAGTTCCTCAGGCAAGCTGAGTCTTAAGAGGTGCCAGAGAAGGGGAGAAAAAGAAGTAAAAATGAACACCGAGAAAAGTTAAGCTTAGATTTAAGACAATGACAGAGATACTTAAAGGCATATGCTAGGTTATAAAGGAACAAGCACAATTGTAAACACTTATAATGCATGTTCTTTCTTAATAGCCAACATCTACCAGAGAAGAGGTATAAACTTCACAAACGATTCAGACATATGGTATCTGTCATTAACCAAGTCATTGTTTTGTGGAACTGCATGCTGATTCTGCTCCTTTGGATATAAACGGCCAAGGTTTCATTCACTAAATCAATAGTGTACACTGTGTCCCTGACATCAATGTATTTAAGAGAATTTGTCCCATTGATTCTAGGAATGAAGTCTCAGACTGAGCTTTTGGGAAAAAGTTTTAGTTAGAAGAAAAGTAGTTGTGGTAAAGGGGTCAGCACTGATTTGGAGAAATTCAGGTTGCACCCAACAGAGAAAAGAGCAGGCAGGCGCGTTGCACTCTGACAGCATTTGTTAATGATTAGGTGTTTTCTGCTCTCTCTTTATATCTTCTTCATTGCTTAAGGGGGCCTTCCCTTGTAGGCTACAGATGAGCAGCCAATTTGTCCCTGGAGACATCCTGACATTAGCCTACACATGGTGAGGCTTTTGCTCTTGTGATAAGAGGATAAGGGACAGATACATTTTACACAATGTTAGCTAGTGAAAGAGCTGGCTAGGTGACAGGGTCTATGGATTAAAGGTTTTAAGAACAATCTCTTGTCCACATGAGAGTTCCTATTACTATTTTATATCTGAGGCCATGTTAACCTCTTCTAGCAGAAATAGAGCACATTTTGTGGCACAGATACAATAGGGAATTCTACTTTGTTAGTTGGTGGTGATTATTTTCTTGGATTTTTCTAGTTTTTACATGAGCATCAAACTGATAAAATAAATGGAGGTATGATAAAAACCATCACCCCTTAGATGCTTAATAGTGGCAATATTTTTGCTTCCCTTCTTGGAAAAATACTAGTCTTCATTTCTAGATCTGACAGAGAGGAGTTTTTAGGGCTTCGCTATGACCATTTTAAACATGATCAATCTCACCATCCAAAAACCCATCTCTGGTGTTTTACCAACTACCAATCATTTCTCTTCTGAATGTGTTTTCAACAATCATGGGCAATCTTTGTAAAAGTTCACAGATAAAGTAGAACCATGAGGACTTAACTGTGACCAGGACTTTACTTAACATCTGCACACTCAGGCTACTATGAGCAGGCCATGTTGATGCTTTGAGTGCCAGGTACTTTGGGAATGACTTTTACAATATGGACATACTCTGGACAAATGACTTACTAATCTGGCAACCAAAACCTAATCTGATTTTATTTATAATGTAAACAAGCTTACTAGGCCATGAGCACCTCTCCTAAGCTAAACATAGCTTTAATTGCTCATGATTCTCCCTTGCCCCAGACTTAGAATAATGTGTTATGGGTGTGTGTTTAGTGAACACCAAAACCCTGCAGGTAGTGATTATTCCTTAGAAACAAAAAAGATATAAAGATTATCCCATTTGTATGGCAAACAGTACATGGGATTCAATTAATAAAATCTCTTTATAGTTTTGTGAATGTGTTAGTCTAGGTCTTGGGATCAGAAAAAGCAAAATTATCTGACAAGCTAAGGGTCTGACTTTTACTTAGCAATTTCATACTGGATATGCTATTGCAGTAAAAGAAAGTGTAGGCTCCCTCACAATTCTGAGAGGAATCTGAAGGGACGAGTTCCCAGCAGTTCAGGTGTACTCTTGGCTGAAATGGATCCTAAAAGTCAGGCTGGTTTTCATTTGAGCATTACCATAATGTGGCAACTCAATTTTTTTGTCTACTAGCCTTTGAAATGTTTGTGCATTCTCCTGCTTAGTGAAAAATTCTACTCAAAAAAAAAATCTGCATTTCCCTTTGGGGGAGAATAGGAATTTTTTTAAACAAGCATACTTGTGAAAATTTTGTAGGGTCACTTTTCAGAGTCATGAACCTTTGTACAGAGAGAACTAGATAAAAACAGTGGCTGAAGTACAGTAGTTAGGAAAATAAACTAGCTCATGCTGGAAAATTTACCCTTATAATAGTCTCATCTTAGTGACAGTACAAACTAAGCAGTATCAATGCCATTCAATATGAAAATTGACCTGAGCAGATTAGATATCTGATCTCTGTAACTAACCCTACCAAGGAGGCTCTATTGTTCTAGAATCCTATAATCTTCATCACTCCTACTGAGCCTAACTCTCTTATATTTTTCATATTGTTAGCCCTGTCCTGTGGAGAAGAACAAGCACCACTAATACTGATGTGGGTACTCCTCTCAACAGCACATTTTATAATCTTGATAAATGGTACATGATCTAGATAGTCACCTGGTTCACATAACCTGGTATGCATTCTACATGTCTACTGCAGCATAGACACTTCTATGTGCCTTTAAGTGCGTGCTGTCCTCACTTGCAAAGCAGTTTCTAGTGATTCAGCCTCACTCTGCACAGCCCATTATTTCATGCTTCTAGACATCATCCTATCAAGGAATTTGTACTATCTCCTAAGTCCATTTTCTAGAGTGTTAAATCTACTATTCTGGGAGGATGATCCCAAATTAGTAATCTTTCCATGACTCAAACTTATACACATGCCTTCTTGACTACAAAACCTCATAGATGTGTATTTCTGAAGCCTGCTAACACATGCTGGCATGGCCTTACAACTATTTGAGGATAACTACTTTCTTCTCTCAGTCTCAGCACATTCTTCCTATTTTTTGATTTAACTGTAGACACAGGTCCAATGTTTGAATGAGGAAAAGGAAAGATCCTGAGAAAATCACATGCTGCCTTGCCTGGGAGAAGCATCTTCATTATTACTAGGTAAAAGAAAATGTATCATTTCAATAAGAGCTGGGCCATTTTTGCATATTCCTTATATTTACTCTTTCCATTTTTTTCAGACTTGCAAATATATCACAAGGGCAAAATCATATCTTCTTTAGAAATATTTTATTATTTTTAGTTTATATGTATGAGTCCATGGTCTGAATGTATGTAAGTGCACCCATGTTGTACAATGCCCACAGAGGTCAAAAAAGGGTTTTGGATCCCCTGGAGCTGGAGTTACAGATGGTTGTTAGCCATCATGGGGGTGTTGGGAATCGAACCCAGGTCCTCTATAAGATCAGTCAGCCCTCAAAACTCATATCTTCTCATTAACATATACACCAGAATCAAAAGGAATTGGTAATGGAAATTGGGGAAGAAAGATAATTTTTCTCTTTCTTTCAACAAATTTTTATTGATATAGCAGATGTTAATTTTAATACTAGGACTACATCAGTGAACAAAACAGCAAATCTTCAATAATATGATAAAAATGATAAGTATGGCAAAGAAGAAAATAATGTCCTAAGGAAGGTGTGACAATTGCAATGACAGAAAATTGAGCTTAATTAGTAGAGGTTTTCATACTAAATATTTGAGATAAATTTGAAAAAAAATGTGATGGAGAAATTAATCTTGGGTGTTTACAGATAAAGCATCTGTGAGAGTATCTCTGAGTGAAACCAGCATTTCTGTCAGTAGACTGAGTAAATCTGACCCCTGCCCAATGTGAATGTACCTCATTCAATCCACTGAAGCTTTGATCAAAGGTCAAATGTGAAATAGGCGAGATCTTGTTCTTTATTTTCTAGACTCGACATCAGTTTTTTCCTCTCTAGGACTAAACTGCAGATTAAATCACTGACTCTCCAAGTTGCCAGCTGATACTCTTGGAACTTCTCAGCCTACATAAATGTGTGAGCCAATTTCATCCATATATGAGTCTTAGTTCTATGGGTCTGCTTTTATGAGAATCCATATGAATGTACTTGTTCATTTTAACAATGCACATAGATGATATTCTAGTCCTGTGACTGCAGTGCCCACAGAGGTGAAAATAGGGTCCTAGAGTAGGAGGTGGTAAGGCACCTGAATTGGGTGTTGGGACAACCCAACTCTAGTCCACTGTCTCTGATATATGAGTCTTAGTTCTATGGGTCTGCTTTTATGAGAATCCATATGAATGTACTTGTTCATTTTAACAATGCACATAGATGATATTCTAGTCCTGTGACTGCAGTGCCCACAGAGGTGAAAATAGGGTGCTAGAGTAGGAGGTGGTAAGGCACCCGAATTGGGTGTTGGGACAACCCAACTCTAGTCCACTATCTCTACAAGAGCAGTATGTACTTTTAACCATGAGCCATCTCTTCAGTCCTAGTGATTTTGTTTTCTAACTCATCTATTCATTCTCTTCATTAAATTAGCATTACAAATGCCCCCTTGCATGTACCTCTAATTCCCTGATCACCCCTCATTAATTACAGAATTGACAAAGATGAAGGCCTGAAGAAGAAACTAGAGTGTTTTGCTACAGAGCCATCCATATAGCAGGCACAGAACAAGGGCGGTGAGGAGTACAGAGCTGGAAGAACTGAGTCCAGTTGCTGCTCCGTGTCAGCAGGGTAGGCCAGCACATCATAGGAACCGTGTTCATTGTTTCACTTCTCTGACGTCCAGAGCATAATTTCTGCTGCTTCTTCCCCATTTCTAAACTCTCTTGCAAATTTCTCTTCTAGTCAAATTCAATTCAGAGGCATATAGGGAAAGAGGTGCAGGAGTACAGGGGTGACTTGAACCACACAAATCAGTATATGGATGTGTGATGAGCCTGGGCCTGTTAACTCCAAGTCTCCATGGTAAAAAGCTCTAGAAATGGTGTACAGGGCAGAGTGCAAGCACAGAAGCCAGGGGAGGTAGCTTAGCTTTAGACTCACTACTTGGGCAATTTAAGAGATCAAGGGGCTGGGGAGATGGCTCAGTGGTTAAGAGCACTGGTTGTTCTTGCAGAAGACCTGGGTTCAGATCTCAGCACCCACATGGAAGCTAACAACTGTCCACTCCCAGGGGATCCAACACCCTTTCCTGTCTTACAAAGGCATTGCAGGACACAGGTGCACTTAAACACGTACAAGCATAACATTCACACACACAAACTAAAAATAAATTTTTTAAAATTAATATGAAAGAAGGTCAAGAGAAGTCAGCTTTTACCTTTTAAGGAAATTTGTTGACAATTTCGTTAGTCACAAAAGGTCTCATAGACTAATTTTTTATTATAGTATTCATATTTAGAAACTGTTTTTTACAAGATAATAAACTGGGTTTTTGTAGTCAATCAAAATCACACTGCTAATTGCAACATTAAACCATCATGAACTAGATATTATAAAGAAAATGAGCATTCATTAGTCTGATAAAAGTTCATAAAGAGGAGCTGGAGAGATGGTTCAGTGGTTAAGAGTACTGATTGCTTTTCCAAGGGACCTGGGTTCAATTCCCAGCACCCACATGGCAGCCTACGACCATCTGTAACTCCTTGACATCTTCTGTTCTCTGTGGGTATGCATGCATTGCACAACATGGGTGCACTTATATACATGCAGACAATATACTCATACGCATAAAATAAAAATAATAAAATTTTTTTAAAGTTCATAAAGAAAATAATTTTTCTTAGTGTTCAAAATACTGAAAATACTGTAGGCCTTGGTGAAACCTGGCAGATTAAGCATAGCTTTTTTACATTGCTCTTTAAAAAGAAAACACTGAAAATATGAAATAGATTTTATGCTATTTATCCATAAAGACAGAATAAGACCTAAAAAATCAATGAGACTTACTATAAATGATTTGAAGCATGAAATGTTCTACTGTTTATTTTCCATTTATGTGTATTAACTCCTTAGCAATTGCCAAGATGGAACTTACCCAGTTCTCTTTCTTTTTTCCAACCATTTCACCATTCTGAGACTTCCATAAGTCCTGTTTTGGAGATTATGCCCCTGTGAAGATTCATGTATTGAAATATTAATTGTCCAGGACCTCAGAATGTGACTGTATCTACAAACAGAGGTCTATGAACAGGTAAAAGAAAGTCATTAGCCTAGTCTTAATACAATAAGGCTGGTGTCCGTGTGAGAAGAGGAAATTTGGACAGAAGTCACTGTGAGAAGACAGCTTTCTGCAAGCCAAGGAGAGAGTGCAAAAGAAATCAGTTTACTGACAATTTACTCTCAGAAGCGGAGATTCCAGAGTATCAGCAGATCAATTTCTATTGTTTAAGCTACCCACTCTGTAGTATTTGCTATGTCAGGACTCCAAAACTAATACCAGATCTAGTTTTCTTTCTGGATCACCCTTAGGTTTTCCTCTTATGTCCTTTTATGTAAAATTTCACAATGATGTATCTTGGTGTGTGTGTGTGTGTGTGTGTGTGTGTGTGTGTGTGTGTTTTCTTAATTTAATGTGCTGAGTCCACAGTGGGAGAAATTTAAGGGAAATGATTGTCAAGTGTGTGATCCTATCACATACACAAATATGCTCTTCGAAACAGTTTCCATTTTCTCTTCTAATTTCAGATCGCACACACACACATACGTATATGTACGTATATAGTCTTTTTGAGATAGGGTCTCCCTGTAGCCCCAGCTGGCCTGGAGTTCACTGTGTAGATCAGGCTGGCCTCAAATTCATAGAGATCTGCATTTTTTCTGCCTCCCGAGTGCTGGGACTAAAGGTGTGCACCATCACACCTGGCTATTTTATATATCTTTAAATATTTATTTTATTTTTGCTTCTATGTGTGTATGGAAGGCAGGGAAAGCATGTGTATGTGAGTGTAGGTGCCCTTGGAGGCCAGAGTAATTGGATCCCCTGGTGTTGGAGTTATAGGCAGCTGCTTGACTTGGGTGTGGGAACCGAAGTCAGATCCTCTGCAAGAGCAGTACACATTGAATCATCTCTCCAGCCATAATTTAAGATTTTAAAAGAAAATTAGAAGCCCAAATAATTTATCTTCAATATTCACTATGATCTCAGAGCCTTCGTTTCTTTATTAATAAAAATGAATCACATTATAAAATAAAATTCTGTAGGATAAATATGGTACACACATAATAGCTTATATATTATATATATGCATACATATAGAGAGAGACAGATACACGGAGAGAAAAAGAGAAACAGAGTAAGATCTTGAGACAATATGTCTCTATGGATCTCAAATTAGCCTTGAACTCTCAATCTGATGCCTCAGCCTCCAAAGTGCTGAGACTACAGGTATGATCCACAATGAAGTGTGATCTTGAATACATTAAGCCAGTTGCTGAAAGTGGAATAATGTAATATCTATAATATCTTAATTCCCAGAACTGAAATTATATACTTATCATGGAGAAAGGGACATTGTAGCATGATTAAGTATCTTGAGTTGGGAAGGAAATCCTGAAATCATGGCAGGGGAGGCAGACTGATGGGACTAGCTCATCCAAGATGTCAGGAGCTTGAGACTGTTGACTCATGTCTTTGCAAATCAGGATGCACAGCCATAGCTCTAGCTTCACTTCTGAGATCCATCAACTACCAGTTGGACCAGTTCCAAACCAGTGTCACCAGCTGGGAACCAAGTGTCCAAACACATGAGTCTGTGAGGAACATTCCACATTCAAACCATAACAAAAATTATCTTGAATTTGTAGTTTTTAACCAATACCTTTACATGCCTTGATACAGCAAAAGCAATTGATGAAAAGAATTTCTGCAGAAAATAGCACACTGTCCTGTGCCCACTTAAGACTAAAACCCAGTGAGGCATACGATGCTACCAGCAATGAAAGTCTTTATTTACCGAGTACTAGTCAAAGGTCAGGCTGCAGAGCCAGACTGCTGGCCCATGAAGGACTGTTCTGCCACGTGCTGGCATTACAATTTAGTGAGACTCATTTCCTACCATTGAAAAGTAAAATATTTTGAGATCCTGTCTCACAGAGGTTTCATAGGCATTAGCTGAATCAAACCACATAAACAATTTACCCCAATGCCCTGCACAAGCAGGTATATGCACCCAGCCAAGACAAGTAATTGTTATGAATTACTGTGAGTCATTGTTCGAAAGGAAATACATTCCTACTCATGCCATGGTAATTACTGCTTTTCCTTTAGTTTGACAAGCAACAAACACCATGACCAAGGCAACTGATGGAAGAGTTTATTTTGACTTGTTCCAAAGGGATAAAAGTTCATCATGGCAAAGAGGCAGGACAGCAAGCACCAGGATACATATATGTTTACAAGCATACACACACACACCAAAACATTTTAAAAAGGCCTGGGGAGGTGGCTCAATCAGATTGGTAAAGTGCTTACTGTATGAGCATGAGGAAATGGATATGATCCCTTGTTTAAAAAAAAAAGAAGTCAGATATGCATGATGAGTGTAATCCTAGTTATGGGGAGTGGGGAGGATCCCTGGTGTTGGCTGGTCAGCCAATCTACCCAAACTGGGGAACTCCAGGTTCAGGGAGAGACCTTGACTCAACCAAATAGGGGGGGAAATAATTAAGGAAGACAGATCATGTCAACCTTGTGCCTCTATACTCACACACTCATACCTGCGTTGGACTTCCACATGCATGCATGAATACACAGGAGTACATACACATAAATAAAATATTTAGTACTTCTTACAATAATAAGTCTATTTCATTAAGTGAAAATGAATCAACAGTATTTTATATCTATGATTACGGGTCATAGTTATCATAGTTGCTTTTAACTTTATACGTAAATGTACCAAGTGCATTTCTTTTTCCAGTCAATTTCAGTGTTGACTGATTTTGCATAATCTTAGCAATATTATTATTCATTTGGTCAAATCTCTACAGCAAACTTAGGTATGTTTTTCTGATTGTGTGTCTTATTACCACACTACAGATGATCCTTAGGTTATGTCTTGACAAACTCATCACATATGGGAAATAGCATTAATTCAAAATGCATTTAATACACTTTATACTATATTGTATCTAAGCAACACAAGATGCAATAGAGTAGTGTGTGTGTGTGTGTGTGTGGGTGGGTGGGTGGGTGTTGTGTTCATATTTGTGTTCGTCTGCACGTGCTGGTACACAGAAGCCAGAGAAGGATGCCAGGGGTCATGGTTTATCACTGTCCACTTTGTTTCCTTGAAACAGCATCTCTCAGTGAACCTGGAGCTAGGCTGGCATTTAGCAAGCCTCTGTGATCATGTCTGTGTCCCCATAGTACAGGTGCACATGGCCATGCTCAGCTTTTTACACGAGTGCTGTGGACTCAAACTCAGGTCCTCGTGTTTGTACAGCAAGCACTCTTACCCTCCAAGCCATCTCTCCAGCTGGAGCAATGAGTATTTACCTTCATGATCACGTGACTGACTGGGGCTGTCTGTCATTCACTGCCTCTGCCCAACACCAAAAGAGAGTATTATACCACATACCACTAGTACAGCAAGAGTCATGCTTAAAATTTTAAAGTATGCTTTTACTGAATTTGTATCACTTTCACAGCATTGTAAAGTGAAAATGAAAGTTGAAGTTGTGAACCACTGTAAAGGGAGGAATACATGTATCTGTACCATCTGATTCTGTGGCTTCCCTACCACAGTGTTTCCCAAACTTATTTTTGCTGACTAACAATTATTAACTGAGAATAAAAATATCCAGTTCTGCCCCATGGAGACTGTGATTTAGGGGTTCTGAAGTAAAGTACAGAAACTATATTTTCATCTCATAAAATTATTTTTATTTCCTGATTTTCATCTCAGGAAAATTAAGAACACTTATTTTTTTTTGTTTTTGTCTCAATACCCTTCAGCATTAGCAAGAAAAGCAAACACAGGAAAGAACTCCATAAGCATATGCAGTTGTTATGTAGGATTGAGAGGAGTTTTTATCTCTCTGTAGTTCGTGGCTTATCGGAATTATGTTAATACAGAATTTTATAGTTGAATATTTGCTGAAAATGAGGCAGATGGTGATCTAGGGGAAAAATCAGAAAACATCTATCTTGTACTGTGTTTCTCAGATCTTGGTAATTTATTTTATTTATTTTATGAGTATTAGTGTATTGCCTGCATGCACGTAAGTGCTCCCATGTGGTGCAATGCCCACAGAGGTCAAAAGAAGGTGTCAGATCACCTGGAACTAGATCTAAGGATGGTTGTTAGCTGCCATGTGGGTGCTGGGAATCAAACCCGGACCTTCTTCAAGAGCAGTCAGTGCTCTTAACCACTGCTGAGCCATCTCTCCAGCCCTGCCCCGATTCTTTTTTATAGCTAACGAAAATCAGAAGTTGTGCTCTTTCTGAGTTTCATTGATATTTTAAAATGTTAAAGATCTTTTAACATCATAGGCATCTATACAGACAAAAATAAGACAAAGAAGAAAGAGTGACGTTAGGATTATTTCTACAACTTCCCGTATTCTAATTCAATTAATATTCCATGAACACTGAGAATTTTACAGATTCTGGAGAGTCACAAAGAAAAAGTCTTTGCATTTTTGCATTAACAATCTGCTGGAGAAGAGGAAGGGC